GACACCTGACAAGCTCTGGTTGAACTTGTTGCCAAAGGTCAAAGTCTGCAGGCTGCTTGGCAAGGTGACACCTTCCAAGCTCTGGTTGAAACAGCGGCCGAATGTCAAAGTCTGCAGGCTGCTTGGCAAAGTGACACCTTCCAAGCTCTGGTTAAAAGAGTAGCCGAATATCATAGTCTGCAGCCTTCTTGGAAAGGTGACACCTTCCAGCTTCATGCCGAAGGTCAAAATCTGCAGGCTGCTTGGCAAGCTCGCACCTGACAAGCTCTGGTTGAAGTCCACGCCGAAGGTCAAAGCCAGCAGGCTAATGGGCAAGGTGACACCTTCCAGGCTCTGGTTGAACTTCCTGCCGAAGGTCAAAGTTTGTAGGCCGCTTGGCAAATTTACACCTTGGAGGCTATCGTTAAACTCGTAGCCAAAGATCAAAGTCTGCAGGCTGCTGGGCAAGCTGACACCTGCCAAGCTCTGGTTGAAAGAGCCGCCGAATGTCAAAGTCTGCAGGCTGCTTGGCAAAGTGACACCGTCCAAATTCTTGTTAAAGTCCTGGCCGAAGTTCAAAGTCTGCAAGCTGCTGGGCAAGATCAACTCCATCACTGGCATTACAGTTGAAGGACAACGTCTGAAGACTGTCTGGAAAGGTCACACCATCCAAGCTCTGATTGAACTTGCCACCAAAGGTCAAAGTCTTCAGAGTGCTTGGCAAGGTGACACCTTCCAAGCTCTGGTTGAACTTGTTGCCAAAGGTCAAAGTCTGCAGGCTGCTTGGCAAGGTGACACCTTCCAAGCTCTGGTTGAAAGAGCGGCCGAATGTCAAAGTCTGCAGGCTGCTTGGTAATCTGACACCTTCCAAGCTATGGTTGAATCCTGTGTCAAAGGTCAGACAGGCGATGGCATATATAACTGTCGCATGTGTGTGCACGTCGTCTCTTGTCCTGTCTACAAGGGCTCTTCGGAACTTAATCGCTGCCTCCAGTGCACAAACCTGTCGAACTACATATGAGATCTCTCGGCCACACACTGCTTGCTGCAAAGGTTGGAAAGGTCCTGGAGGAGCTCACTGTCAGCAAAGAGGACAATATTTCGACCAGCTTTCATGCCAATGTTTCTTGCGATTGTGTTGGAGAGGTCGCCCACCTGAGGAATGCTTCGTTGATTGAACATTGAACATTGGAAAAGCACCCATTAAAAAACGACACAGATTTGACGGAAAGTCTCATCAGTAGAAGAATATCAGGCCAGCTCCTGGTCCTGTCGAACCTATGGTCCATGGATAATACTTGAAACGTTGGGCGAAGGATTTTAATTGAAAAACTGTATTTAAATCCTTCGGGGCAGATGTCATTTTGTATGTTTTAAATGTGCCAAGGTCGGGGCTGACTTTTTTTTTCACTGAGATTCTGTCGTATTAAAATCCTCGGGCCGACGTTTTAATATAATCCTGGGGCCGACGTTTTATTATAGTCCTGGCCCTAACCTACATGATCACATCTGATACTGAATTCATGGGCTTATTTAAATCCTAGTATAGACGTCAAATCCCCTCACATGTCCCCCCAAAATTTGTATTTTTTTCCTTCCGGACAAGAAATGTAGACCACTGGTCCGGGACAAGCGCGTGCCATCATCACCCAAAGGAAAGCTGCGAGAAGCCCACCCACACACCCAACAATGCAAGAGAGGTTCGCAGTCATGGCATCACTTTTGATGTCCTGTGGTGTCAAGTGATCATGGGTCTTTAAATGCTGGAAGCTAGAGTCTGCATTGACTCCAGTGCTCACTGACATGAGGAAGTAAGCGACATAGACAGCCAAAGCAACTACAGTAAGCAAGAAGAGTATTGCCCATGGGAGGTCTTGACATTTCCGGTGTTTGGGGAATCTGGGCAAATCCCCACACATGTCCCCCCAAAATTTGTATTGGCCTGGCATTTTTGAGGCACCATGACAAGATTATAGAAGGACATGCATGTTCTTAAAAAGCAACGGCCATACACCGAGGTCGGACAATCGAAACGGGTCATCGGGTCCTCGGTCAAAGTCCCAAAATAGTAAGGCCAGGAGCCCCTAGTAGCGTCTTTTGTATTAAAATTAGACCTTGACCCCGTGCAAGCACTCACAGACTGGGAAAACATGCATGACTACATTCCGGGTACATGCATTATTAAATTCCGGGCCTGAGGTACCATGTGGTCCTCATTTTTGCTGGTATGTTATTTCAACATGATTATTAAAATCCTTGTGCCAAGGGTTAATTTTTTCTGGTAGCAAGCTTTGGGATTTTTTTGGCGTCGTATTATTTTCCTGGGCGCCAGCGAAAAACACAAAAACATTCTTATTTTTCCTGGGGTTGACCCCTAGGATTTTAATATGGATTATTTAAGGAATATAAACCTGCAAGAAACCAGTTCGGGGGTCGAAGTTATATACAGCAACACTGGACAATCCATCTGTCCCCATCTCATCAATTCTCTTCATTGGAACTAATGAACCGGAAACTTCAGGTGGTTGGATCATGCGAACTTACCTTTCTGTTTGGAGTGGCTGTCTTGAGACTTCCGGTGTGAACAAACCGTCATTTGGCGATGACCAAGAATTCCTGCACCACAACCTGGCCACAATTAGATCTTTCTTCAGATGTCCACCCCGGAAAGTACACATGGGACCCCTGTTTTGCCCTCTCGTTCCAAGGTGGGCACAATTGTGTCAAGAAAAGAACAACATGCACCAAAATCAACAGTCTTCTTAGAAAATCTGTTCGTCAGAATCCTGCCGCTGACTTTGGACACTCCAGCATTTCTAACAGAATAACAAAGACCCTTGCTTGGACGCGGATTGCGTGGCCACAAAAAGTGTTGTCTCGTCATAGTACTAGCCAAATACATGGGACAAAGAAAAAGCCTCCAAAGATCGAGAGCGCACTTGCTAAGACACACACAGGACGACAGGTTGATACAGGTTGTGCTAGAACTGCGACGCACCCTTGACGCGATCTGCAGAACCACACCGTGTGGTCCGTTCGCCGCAGTGGTCGTCTCACTCACTTGGAGCTGACACGTGGTGGTCTCCTCGAGACCGTTGATGGTCCAGAGGCGCTGCGAGGCCTCTGCCAGGAGCCTAAGGCACGTGGAAGTCGGGCCCCAGAAATGAACGTGGTAGGTCACGGTCCTCTTTCATTCACCCATGATATCAAGCATAAAAGAAACATTAAGCTTTGAATGAACCTGCACCTCCAGTGACTCCTTTGCAAGGAGCACCCGGCTTCCTCAGTGGTCTTGAAACGGCAACAAATCCATCACATGAACCCAAACCCCCTCCAAGCTGCTCATCTGCCCGTCGCAGCAGCCGCTCTGCCCGCTCCGGATCTTCTGCGATGAAGTTCCGTAGCACGGCTTCGCATGCATCGTCCGGCAGCGACACGGACGCGCTGGTGTTGGCGCCATGCGTGTTGAATGCCACGGATTGGCTGATGGCAGAAAGTGACAAATTGCTACAAGATCCAACCGTTGGGGGAAAACCGTTGAGGGCTTGGTAATCAAAATGATACGATTGCATACGGTTGCGTCTTTTTGCGTCTTGATTTTTCTTCGGGCTGAGATGGGCCACTTCTAGCGGAGTTTCAGCAATGCGCTCTATGGCATAGAGTCTCAGCTAAAATGCCCTTGTTCCTAGTAGCTTCTTAATCCTAGTAGTAATGCCAGGAGCTACTCGTAGCTTCTTGCTACTAGTAGTAATGCCCTTGTTCCTGGTAGCTTTTTGCAAGAGCTCCTAGCTTGGAGATGTTCTTTCTTCCACTCGTCGACCTCGTTGGAACATGCTGCAGAATCTAAGGATTATCATGCCAACAAAATATGTTCTTTCATTGTCTTTCTATTTCCCCAAATAGAAAAAATGCAATACTAGAGAGGAGGTTGTTCTTTGATGTCTCACATAACATCATTATCTTGTTTTTTGGTCGCTAATCGTCACTACAAACACGAATCACAGTGAAGCTGGTGAATCTGAACTTTCACTGTTATCGCAGCTCTGGTTGAACTGCTACAGACCAAAGATACATGAGTGTTCAGGTACCCAAACACCCACATGTATGGAACACTTCCCCAGCACTGATTGCGTTCCATACAGGGATTGTTTGTCCATTATGAATCACAGCTAGATCGCAGGTCCAAAATCAACCTATACTTTGTATCACCCCTTTCCACTTCGGCTCCCATTCCTGTGGAAATACACTCATGTGTTTGGTATTCAAAGCCTTCGATCGCCAACCACCAATGTCATCTGTCTAAGAGGGAGTGAACCGGACGAAAAACACCATCTGAGTTCGTCCTTCTTCTTCGGGCGACCACTCCTCGACCACTCACCGCCTGGTGTTCGCGGATGCTTTGGGGAAACATCCTGCGACCGGATTTGTCTAATTATTGCTCCTAGTAGTAAGGCACTTGTTACTAGAAGCGATGCACTTGTTCCTAGTAGCTTATTGTTTATATATTGCTTCTCCTCTCATCTGAGCTCTGCGCTAATGAAGTACCATGCATAGGGTCGCCCCTGAAGTACACGTGGCGGTCACAGCACGAAACTTGCTATCAGAAAAAGAATACGCACGATTCTGGGAGTTCAGTTTCATACCATCATGATCCATTACCTGGTGGTGATGAGTTGGTAGGATGTCTACCCATGTCTACCCGATGATTCTTTTCCAGTACATGACTTGTGTCAAGTTCGACCATCTGGATGACGAGGATCCAAATCAAAGAACCGCTCAATGACTCAACAAGGTATATTGCGCACTCCACCCTGTGGGCAGCCAGTGGAGATAGGAACTCCCTGCAAACGGCTGTGGAACATTGAAGAAAAGAACGAACAGTCATGCAAATGGAACTTCCACTTGCCCACCCCGCTATCACTGGGGCATATTAGGAACCTTGTGGCATATGATGCGTTCTTTCCAACATCAGCCGTCAGCCACCAGAAGAACGCCGTATTGCATCGGTGGGCGTGCGAGTCACATCTGCAACGGAACCTCAGGAGAATCCTCTTTCGACCTCGAAGTCCCAGACACCTTACGAACATCGACTCAATAGATTGTCTGAAAAACCGACTCGTTGCGGGTCCCCGCCACGTTGACGCGTGACGGACATAGGGCAGCAGTCTGAGACAAATGTTTATAACCTTATTCCAGTCCACGCTTCTACTAAAGACTGATACTTCAGTTTACGCAAATGCATGGGCAGCGCAATCAATCGGCAAGTGAGAAAGAGAAAGATTCCCATTAGTTCACAGTTCCCTTCTTTCCAAAACCACTACCATCTTTTGCTTCTGGTGATTCCCATGACCACTCACTTTCCCGCAAAATATATCAACTGCTCGAACTCAGTCTCGAGAACAAAGGCCAAGAGTTCGAAATGATGCGAACGAAAGCCGGCGCCTTGGCGATGACCACGGTGTCCGGGATGCTGAAGCCGAAGTTCTCCGCAAAGCCTCGGAGACATGTTTGGCTTCGGCGCCTCGTCCGATCCACGCGTCAACACCTCCGGTCGGTGGCCGCTTCAACGGTGATGATTCCGGAGACAAAGTGATGGGACTGGAGATCCAGTTCTCCACCCTCACCGAGCATGGGAGTGCCACAATCCCAGATTCGACGCTTTTTGTGAAAGACAGGTCTGCGTTGTACAATCAGCCGGGATACTAGTCATATCTATCTAGCCGCTGTTGAAATGATCATTCTCCACATCTACGACTCACGACAGTGGGCGACTGTTGGTAGCTGGAGTTCGGAGGTTCCTGTGCCGTTGAGGTCCTTGAAGCTTCTAGGTTGGAGCCCGCTAGTAACAAGAAGCAATTTGTCTTTGAAGCTTCGAACTCCGATTCTCCGTCTTCGAACTACCCACCGTTCGACCGGTCCAAAGAGTTCGGATCCCACGACGTGTTGCGACAAACATGTCCCAAACACTCCAGGACTCCAGGAGCAAAGGGCATCGCTACGTTTGGGGCTCCTGGCCTTACTACTAGGAGCAAGGACGCTACTAGGGACTCTGGTTTGAGAGTTCAATGTATATCAATGTTCCAGTCCCTGGCATTGACCACCAGCGAACTCTTCTTCCACGGAACGGCTCTTCTTCCGGTGGCCCCATCTCCACAGCAACTCGTAGAGCTCCACGATGCACCTAAAAGCGACAGGAAGTGAGTTGTCAATCAAGTCCTTGGATTCCTGTACTTCACTTCCTATAATTGAAACATATATTGAACAAATGAAGTCAATGCAGCACACCTCTGATGCCTCTATGTTTGAAAGGACTCATTTGACAAAAACAATCTACCTAGCCGCCTGAAAGTCATGTTACCTCCAAACTCACGTTGACGGTCGCGGTACAGCCTAGGAGCAAAGTGGCTTGTACTGCAGAACCTGGTTCTTTCCAGTGATTGTAGCAAAGAATGTGGTGGCATCCTTGGAGATATCCGATACAAGCCCAGAATTCTTGAAACCTAAGAAGCTTCGAACAGTGCCACTCACAGGTGCCAAGTACCTGCTTCATTGGTTGGTTCAGTCGACGTGTTCCAGTCGACCGATACCCACGGAGCTCAGCAGTCACCGGTCCGTCCCCAGAGGTTGTCACGCTCAGTCACCAGATGCATGGGTGATGTGTGTTTTTACCCCACGGGTCAGTCATGGGTCGTCCATGTCTTTTTCGGAATGTAAAGAAATATCGGAATGGCACGAGCGACTCTGATAACCCGATTCGACTGTTGTTCGCCGAAATTGTGCTGGTCACTCTCAACCACAAAGAACGAACTGCTGAAATGGATGGGTCTCATGACAAAAGCCACAGGATTTATATGGTTCTTAAGGGGCATTGAAACGACTGCTTTTAGATCTTTTACTTTTATATAGTCAGTTTGGTGCCCAATAAACCTATTTGCGGGGGTCCCGCAGACCACAGGAAGCACCACAGGAAGCACCACCGGGCACCGCGGCTCGCAGGGCACGCTCCGTTGCTCCCCGCAGCGGAACATCTGCGCGTCCTGCAAGCCGTGGAATCGGACGACTTTCGTTGGCCAATTGACAGTGCAGTGCATCACAGTTGTCACTTCCTTGACCACATACAGTCAGTTTGTGGGCACCCTGGTCTTTGGTCTCGAAACATCTCGGCCACTGCCGAAGATCCACTGCCATTTGTGAACGGCGGAAAAGGTGCTCCGCCTCCCCGGGACATACAGCACGATATATAGGGCTTAATATTAATGGATGCTAGGTTCAAAGGGCATCGCTACAAACGGAACAAGGACGCTACGAACGGGGCGCTCCATTGCATTACTACTCTAAGAATGCTAGGAACAAAGACCTGACTAGGGTTTCGGTGGAACCATTTCCAGCGGATCAATTGAGAACATGTGAGCAAGTCTCATCCCCAACCCGATTCAAATGAAATGCCCAGCTGCTAAGGTGTTCTCTGAAGTTCTATGACTGTATATGACGTAACTAAATGACTTTCTGCATCCTTTTATATGCCCAGCACTATAAATGCTGGTCTCTGCGTCGTCAGCTTCGCCCCGAACACAAAACCGACAACACCCGGGTGGCGACCCGGGTGGCGACCCGAGTGGCGACCCGGCGGCACCGCCCGTCGCCTCTCGGGGTGAGATGATCGACGCAAACTTCTTGCTCGAGACGTCCTGAGGTGAATTCCGCAAGTCTTGTTACTAGTAGTAACAAGAAGCTAGTAGGAACAAGTGCCTTACTAGTAGTAACAAGTGCAACGCCAGTAGTAACAAGTGCCTTACTAGTAATAACAAGAAGCTCTTCGTCGTCCGCACGAAGCGAAAAAAACACGATCCTTTTTGGATCGGACGTCGGAGAAAGAGGTAGAAGACAAGGTAGAAGGTATTCTGGAACTAGGAATGGTTCAAAAACATGTTCAGGGATAGCTATATGAACAAATATAACGATCATATTTTACAAAATGTCGATCCAGCGTATTCAGGCGTTGATCCGCTTTCTCAGGCCAACTAACTGCATTAAAGCAATTTGGATGAGCAAACTGTTGTTTCTTCCTTAGTCTAGGAGTCTAGGCCCTCTGCCTTCAACATGGTTTGACTAACCCCAAAATGGCTAACACACTTAGCTCCCAACAGCGTTGGTTGCACATAGAGAAGCTCTCCCACGAGGAACCGTTCGATGTGATCCATTGATTTTGGAGTCCCTGTATTCAACCAGTTCCATTAGTAGCAAGGACGCTATTAGGTGGAGGCCATCGCAAGTAGGTTGGAGGCCATCCCTAATTACGAGTATCTCCAATCACTACGGGACCAACTGGCACACCCGCTTCATCCCCTCGTGTTTTCCTGGTGCCACACGCGAGATTCCTCGGATTTCTTTATAGGGACAAAATGATGCATATGGAGATTGGGTACCACTAGGCTTCCACCGGAGACCTATGTTTTGGGTGTGGATGCCATCGAAGTGTGCTAGGGGTTTAAGTTTAAGTGTTGTGACTCTGCCTTTTGAAGGATGTCGTTTTTTCCGAAATCTTACTAGATGCCATCTATGTGTCCCAGGATCTACCCTCAAGGAGTTGATGGCATTTCCCTAGTAGAGATCACAAATTGATGGCATATCAAAGGTGTTTTGCGAGCGCCATCAAAGTGTGATGTATACCTGGAAACCCGTATGATCACTTTTTTTTGATCACTATGGCCTCAAGCCGCATTGACCGTTTTTTTTGTGCATATGCCCATATACGGACATCTCTCCGGGGGACTCCATGTTGTATGAATGGGAACTGTATACGAATATGGCCGTAAACTGGCCATATTTGCATGCATATTTGGGGGTACACGTATGATACTAGTATTGTTTCAATATTTTATTGAAAAAACACCGTAACCATATTCCAACATACTAGTGCGAATACTGCGTTGGAACACCCGAATATGGTACCCTATTGAGCCAAGAGAGGAAACCGTATATGCCCGTATTTGGGCAAACCCCGTAATGAGCAAAAAAAATGGTCAAATGCCGTATGACAAAAAAAAAATGAACATACTGTTTCTCAGGTATATTTATAAATATAAACATGTCAATAAACAAAAAACACTATATAATATGTGTTCAATTGTGTTCACATGTTTATATATAACAAATATAAACTGTATATATAATAGAAATTATCCCTGACCATGTCGTTGAACCATTCCCAGGTCCATCTCCAAAACAATTTTGGGCGCTTCCAGCTTGTTCCGACATCACATCCAAATGTTTGAGCCATTTTCGTGCCTGGTCACCTCCAAAAAGGGGGTCATATTTGGGTCATCTGCGCTCAAGGACCTGAAGAAGCATGTGCCTTACCTGGAGAAGACCCTCTGACTGCCTAGCTCGCACCCCTTGCGCCACATCAACCCGGATGCTCCGCTCCGCCGGCTCCGACGCGCCCGGGTTTCTTCGTCGCTTTCGTTGCTCCTCGTCGTAGACGCGGCGGATGTGCTCCATCTCGTGGGGCAACAGCGGCGCCATCCCCTGGAGACGTCACCGCGAAAACAGTTTTCTTACTGCAGACTGCCACGTGTTCTGCTTGAGGACGGTCGGACTGCGCCAAAATCTGCAAAATCCCTGCTAGTCAAGATTCTGAAGTGATCAGCTAAAGGGCCAAAGGAGCCCAATGATTATTTGACCTTAAATAAAGCAGCATAAACTTGCTTGTTTGATCATTCCCAAGAGAGGAAGATATATATATACTATCATATAGAATCATATATCTATCACTGTCACTTCAATGGTCCTTGGGTCTTTGAAAAAAAATACATCTTTAAAGTGTTTATATAACTTTCCTTAGCTTCAGGACCCCTTCTGGAAACTGAAGTGGATGCTACCTTGCATTGTTATGAGCTCATGTTGATCGGATCTGCAAGCCCTAGAGCCTCTAAACTCCCTCTCTTCACAATGGATCAAAAAAAGAACTGCCAGTTTCAGGGTGCCAAGATGGTCCACAGCCGCTGGCAACACTGGTCTGTTTGCCTCTAAGCCCCAAAAATTCGAGCCCGGACCTTGGTGGTTGAAGGCGCACTGCGCTCCTTTTTTGAATCTTCAGTGAACAAGGTGAACACGTACATGAAACTCAGTGAATTGGAGTTCATGTAGGCTGCTTGGCAGCGTGACACCTTTCAAACTCTGATTGAATTCATCACCAAAGATCAATTTCTGAAGGCTGCTTGGCAGCGTGACACCCTTTAAGCTTTGGTTGAAACCATTGCCGAATGTGATCGTCTGCAAACTACTTGGCAGCATGACTCCTGCCAAGCTCTGGTTAAACGATGAACCAAAGGTCAATGTCTTTAAGCTGCTTGGCAGCTCCACATCTTCCAAATTCTGATGAAACGAATCACCAAAAACCAATGTCTCGATGCTATTTGGCAGCGCAACACCTTCGAGGCTTTGGTTAAAACAATGCCCGAAGGTCAACGATTGAAGGCTACTGGGCAGCATGACTTTGTCCAAGCTCTGGTTGAATGCAGAGCCAAAGGTCAAAGTCTCTAGACCCCCAGGCAGCAGGACTTCCTGCAAGGTCCTCTCATAGCACTCACCGAAGATCAAGGTCTTCAAACCGCCGGGCAGTCTTAAACCCTCTAAGCTCTGGTTAAAATTCCAGCCAAAGGTTAAGATCTGCAGGCTTTCCGGCAAAACGACCTCACGGAAGCTTTGATCAAAACATTCACCAAAGGTCAAGCACTCCAAGCTTGGAGGCAAAGTCACGTCCACCAAGCTCCGGTTAAATGAATTCCCAAAGCACAAGCTTTGAAGGCTACTTGGTAGCGCAAGGCCGGCGAGGCTTTGATCAAAACAATCGCCAAAGGTTAAAGTTTGCAAGCTACTTGGCAGTGCGATTCCTTCCAAGGTCTGATTAAACCCAGCGCCCAAGGTCAAAGTCTTGAGGCTCGTTGGAAGATTCACACTGGCCAAACTCAGGTCAAAACACTCACCAAATGTCAATGTTTCAAGGCTACTTGGCAGGAGGGTCCCTGTCAAGCTCTGATTAAAATTCCAGCCGAAGGTCAAGGTCTGCAGGTTGCTTGGCAGCCGCAGGCCATCAAGACTCTGGTCGAAACACTCAACAAAGATCAACCTTTGCAGGTTGCTCGGCAAATTCACGTCTGCCGAGTTCTGGTCAAATGAATTCCCTACCGTCAATGTCTGCAGGCTGCTCGGCAGAAGGACACCAGCCAAGCTTTTTGTGAACGAATTCCCAAAGTTCAGGGTCTGCAGGCTGCTAGGCAGGACTAAACCTTCCAAGCATTGGTTAAACGAATGTCCAAAAGTCAAAGACTGGAGGCACTCCGGCCATGTGATCCCTGCCAAGCTCTGGTCAAAACAATCACCGAAGGTCAGAGTCTGCAAGGCTCTTGGCAAAGTGAGGCCCTCCAACAGCTGATTGAACCCAGAGCCGAAGGTCAAGGTTTGTAGCCCACACGGCAGTGCAACACCTACCAAGCTGCAGTCAAAGCACTCACCAAACGTCAGGGTCTGGAGCCTATTTGGCAATTCAACACCTCGCAAGCTCTGGTTGAAATTCCAGCCTTAGACTTGGCAGTTTTGGGAGGCCTTGAGCAACATGACATGAGACTCATTGCATCTATAAAGTCTATGTGTTATATATTATATATATAATATATGTTCAAGGGGGTTGATTTCCAGATCTGAAACACCAAAACATATCCAAAGTCTGAACTTCAAGAACCTCGCCAAGCAGCCGAAGGTCAAGGCCTGTAAGCTGCTGGGGAATGTCACATCGTCCATGCTCTTGTTGAAACAATCAGCAAAGCTCAGTGTCTCCAAACTGCTCGGCAAGGTCACTCCCACAAGGCTTTGATTGAAGCGGGAACCGAAGCTCAATGTCTTGATGCTGTTTGGTAGACTCACCTGGCAGAACTGGAGATGGATATCTAAACTTGAAACTCTATCCAAACTGTTTACCTTTGTTTTGAGGGAGAAAAATACTAAGCTAAATCGATCTAAAGCTGGGGATCCACAAAAGCTAGCAGTTTTGGGGCTGGCTTAGTCACACTCTTCAATCTCTGGTCAAAGCAATCGCCAAAGGCCAGTGTCTGCAAACTGCTGGGCAGTGTGACACCTGCTAAGCTTTGGTTGAAGGATTCGCCAAGTGTTAGGGTCTCCAAGCTCGTTGGCATTCTGACGCCAGCTAAGCTTTGGTTGAAGTCGCTGCCGAAGGTCAAACTCTGCAGGCTGTTTGGCAGCAAAACATCTTCCAAACTCTGGTTGAAAGAACTGCCAAACCTCAAAATCTGCAGGTGGCCCGGCAACGTGACATTTTCCAGACTCTGGTTGAACATCTCTCCAAAGACCAACGAGTCAATGGCATCGATGGCGTTCACCTCTGCTCTCGTCTGGTCACTTGACCGCGACAAAGCACGATGCAAGGTCACAGCGGCTTGACCAGCTCCCACTTGCTGGGCCACGTAGGTGATCTCCTCATTCTCAACCTTGGATCGATTGCATCGGAGCCGCCATCAGGCGGGTTTGGTTTCTTGAGTGTGTCTCGAATCATGACCTCTTCTGCTGTCTGCTTAGGCAAGAACGTCAAACAACAACAACAACAACAACAACAACAACAACAGCAGCAACAACAACAACAACAGCACCAGCACCAGCACCAGCACCAGCACCAGCACCAGCAGCAGCAGCAGCAGCAGCAGCAGCAACAGCAACAGCAGCAACAGCAACAGCAACAGCAACAGCAACAGCAACAGCAACAACACACACGACCAAAACACATGACCCATTGGGTTTCAATCAGCTCTTTTCATATCTTGAGAGGTTTCCTGCCGAGAACATCACCAGCTAACCATGTCATGTATTTGTATAGCAAGTTAAACGAGCCTCAGATTTGCCTGATTGTGCGCTCTCAACACCGGGATTGATCGGTTGCAACCCACCGGCGGCTAACACAGTCGCCCAACACGGAGCACGGATTGCACGCACCGAGCGCCGTAGAAAAAAGAGGTACCAGAAGGCTGGTTTCATGTAAGAAAGAGACTCTTGATACTCTTGCTATATTCTAGGAACTCTTGGCTGTGCTTGTGCCACTTGTTCATAGCTGGCCGGACTCAAAAGACTCAAAACCCCGTGCTATTGTTGACCGCAGGTCTCGTCGCCGATGGCCGCCGTTGAGTTGATACGACGTGTTTTTGCAGTTGGCATTCCGAGAAACCAAGTTGAGAAAAGGGACGCCAATTGAGAACACCCCAGCCAAGCCTCGCTTCCGAATAGGGACACCAGTGAGTCACCAGGTGCTGATGAAACAAATCTGAAACCAAACTCACCAACTCACCTTTATCATCATCTCCGGAACATTGAAAGAAAACATATATAAAGAAAGTAAAACACACCTTGTCTCCCACGTATGAAACGTGTGTTTTCTCTGGTTTTCTCTGCTTTCATGTTTCATCCAGGAGACCTGTGGCCACAGAGCCTTTGACTCTTCCAGCACGTGATCGCCGGAGGTCAACACCAGCCGCCGCCCAGGACGTGGCTCCAGTCGCTCGCTGATGCTCTGGACCACCTCCTCCACGGTCGCCTCGACCGTCACATCCGGAAAGATGGGGGGAGAGAGATGGAAAACCAATGAATCACTGCAATGATTCTAAAGTTCTTAGAATTTTAAAGAAAACTTAAGAAGTATAAAGAACCTAAAAGTGATGGCCTCCGGACTTAGCGATGGAAGAGAGGTGTGGGTCATGGCACCGGGCTACCGGTTGACCAAAGATGAACAGAATGGACGACCTGACTCGGTCAACCTACCCTGGTTTGATCCGGGTTTGGACCCAGAGCCGGAGAGATTTCTCTACGGCTGTGGGTCATGGCACCGCACCCGATTCGCCAAACCCGTGAAGATCCGATTCGCCTGGAGCTGTCAACTGATCACCAGTTTTGGGCATGTTTTGACTCACCCAACTACTGCTGGCTCGGCCGCCCCGGCACCTCGCGCCGGCGAAAGCGCATATTATGCGGGAAACGGCGACTGCGTCCAAGGTGCGGCATCGTCGACCGGAAGATTGAACCTGCAAAGCATTTCACCGGGTGTTTTCGAAACGAAGTTCGAAGGGCGAAAACTGGCCTGGAACAAAGCTCTTGGTTTCGTGTTGCAACAAATCGTGCCGACTAGTGACTAGTGGGGAGAGTTGGTGCGCTGCCGTGAAGGGACAGAAGTTCAGGGCATGTTAACCTGAACCTGCGTGTACTCTTCAGCAAGAATACTTGGATCTCCAAGGAGGCATAGAGAGGCCTTCTGCCCCCTCGTGTGTGGTGCAAGTAGGCCATCTATTTCAACGGCCCCAAAGACTTCTTGTAGTTTCTCGTGGTTCCTAAGCTTCAGGTGCTTGGCAACATTGAGGTTCCCTGTTCCATTTCGGGGGGCTTGGCAAAGAACACACTGCGATCAAAATGTCGGTCAGCCTGAAACTCCACCCGAATACCATACCACAGCTTTGGACCCCAGAGCCGGCAAGCCCTCAAAGGTGAGTGTGAGATCACGGCCAAGCCATGGTCACGACGTGGTCGTGTGTGCTCAACGACTTGCATTGAGGTGAACCTTCTCAAAACGGAACCGCAAATCGACAGGAGTTTAACACCTACAACTGGGTACCTGCTCCTTCAATCGTCCAAATGTTTCTGCAAGCAGTTTTGAGTCTGTGCATTCCAAGCTGCCAAGCCCTCCCTCTCCCTGTGCCGCCCTCCAAAACACTCCGAAAACCAAGACGCTCCAAAAGCAAACATCTGAGTGTTCCTATCAGTAGAGGACGCTACTAGGCGCTCCTGGCCTTACTAGGAGCAAGGACGCTACGAACGGAGCAAAGGGCATCGCTACTAGTAACAAGAAGCTACTAGGGACTCCTGGCCTTACTACTAGGAGCAAGGACGCTACTAGGGGCTCCTGG